AAGCTCACTTCTCCAGCTGCTTTTTCTCCCCCTCACTTCCTTCCCCTCTCCGTCCCTAGGGAGGCCTTTCTCTGACCTTCCCTGGCAGAGCCATAGGGCAACTGCTGGCTTGCCTTTGTGCTACTCAGCTAAAAAGCTAATTCCATTTCTCCCAGGGCCCTTCTGGATTCTGTTGCTGCCGCTCTTCGCCTCAAGGGTCTACTCCCTGAAAGAAGCCAGAGCCTTCCTCTCCCAGCTCCTCCCATCCTAAAACCCAACCACCAAGCCGATGAAGCCAACCCTCTTCTACCCTCTAGTCCTTCGGCCCCAGTCTTGGTGGCGACCTGTTATCTCCAGGTCTTATCTCCTTGGCTCCACCCCTACTCTCCACCCCATGGGGCTGCCTCTGCCCCCTCCACCCTCCACCCAGAGCTTCTGCTCAGGTCACCAGCAACTTCGGTCCCTAAATCCAACGCGCGCTGTGTGGCACTCCACCTGCCTGACCTTCCTGCACCAGTTCCCCTGTTGACCACTCCCTGCAGGGAGCCATCTGTCACTCCTGTCCCCCCACCCCACCACTGCTCTGCCAGCAACTTCTCAATGCCCTTTGTCAGTTCCTCCCCCACCCAAGCGTTGCTGTTCTGTCTTGAGCCCACTCTTCTTCCCAAGCTCTCTCCCTTGGCATTCCCATGGATTGAATAGCCAATGAGTCCTAGGGCCACATCCCAGCCCAGACCTGTCTCCTGGGCTCTGGGCCTGGGCACCCAACTGCCTCCACTGGGTGTCTCTACAGCAACTCAAACCAAGCATGTCTGGAACCATCTCATGATTCTATCTCTCAGACCCGCTTTCCCTCCCAAGCCCCTATGTCCATAAACAGCACGATCACCCACCCTGCGTTCAAGCCAAAAACCTGGGAGTCGCTGACCCCTTCCTCTCGCTCTCGCTGCACCCAGTCGCTAAGTCCTGCCGAGTTCACCTTCCAAATGCCTGTGCACTCCATCCAGACCTCCTGATTCAGATGATGCCACCTAAACCTGGGACACCCCACCTGTGCCCCAATGAGGGGGTCCTAACTGATCTCCCTAAGCCACACTTACCCCACATTCCACTCTCCTTACAGCAGCCAGAGGGATCTTTCTAAAACATACATCTTTTTATGTCATTGGCCACCATCTTCCAACTGCTCCCCAGTGAAACCCCCAAATGGGTGGCACCTTGTGCCATCCGCCCCCAGCTCTCTGAGCACCAGCCTCCCTGGCCCTTTCACTTTCCTTCAACTCACCATGCTTCTCCCTGCCTCCAAGGCTTCGTTCTCTCTGCTTTCTCTGCCCAGAATGCATTTCCTTCTCCCCCTGACCCATCCCCAAGAGATCAGGCCAAGGGCTGCTTCTCACATTTCCCACCAGCCCACATTTCCGCACAGGGCCCCTAGGGTTCATCGGCCCCCAGCTTGTTTGCACTCACCCATGGGTGCCTGTGGTTGCTTGATTCATGTCTGTCTTGACTCCTGGACTGAAAATTCCATGAAGACCAGGGGCCATGTCTGTCTTGCTCAGCCTACAGCCACACTGTGCCTGGCACATAGCAACCCAGAGCTCCACCTTCCCGGGACATCCCCTGTCTACACAGCCAGCATTCACTGCCCCAGGAATAAACTCAAGTCTGGAATTCAAGGACTCGCCTTTCCAATGCCCCCTGTCCTCAACCCTCCACACATACCTTCCCCATCCATGCTGGGGTGCCCCTGACTCCTCCCCTTGTTCCCACTACTTCTCCCAGTTCCCACAATAGCCAGCTCAAGCCTACCACCCCCAGCAATGCTTCTGTTCCCTGATCACACAGCCCACCCCCCTCTGGATCGGCAGGAGTCCCTCGCTCCCTCCAGGATGATACCACAAGGCACTAGGGCTCTTCCCGATCCAGCCCAGCCTACACTCTCAGCTCCCCACCACGCACGCACCCAACAGCCTGGAGTCCGGCACAAGGGGACCTGGCCTTTAAAGCCATGATTCCTGGACTCATCTCCCGCCTCCGTCTCTGACAAGTTTCGGGACCTTGGACAAGTTGCAAACCTATGCTAAGCCTCAGTTCCCTCACACGTGAAACGGGACCAGTCATAGGTCCCAACTGATCCAGCTTTGGAGGGATTTAACAAGGAAATCCGTAAGAAGTGTTTTAGCCCAAGTAATTAGCTTGACACCTACTATGTGCCACCATGAGGCCTCTGGGCTTCTTGCTTCGATTGTGGCCCTGATTGGTCAACAAACCCGTCCTTCCCACTGGTCCTGTGCTAAGAAGGGAGGCTGGGTCCCTTTCATCTCTGTATCCCCCTTGCCTAGCCCAGTCCTGGTCCCGAGAAGACTCAATAAATGCTTATTAATGAGTAGATAGACCACACACTTGGCACAAATCATCTCATTCCTTCACTTTGGTGCGTATAAATCTTATCTCTCCTAACACAATTTGAGCTCCAGGGTATGGGGGAGGGGAACAGAGGGAGGAAGGGATGGGGTGTCTTCATGTCAGAGCATTCAGACCTGGGAGGGAGCCCTGAGCTCCTGACATCCCTCTACCCCCCACGGTGCCCAGCCCGGAGAAGAGAGTCAAGGAGGCATTGTTGACAGATGGGCCCGCCATCTTCCCCCAAGAAGAAGGCATGTTTCCCCGTACGAGATATCGCCCTAATTACTCCCGGGTCCCTCCCCTCCACACACACATCTGCTTTCTTAGGCAAGAGCCTGCTTGACTTACACAGAGTTCTTTTGGCTGGCGGTTCTGAGCCAGCTTGGCCAGTTTCTTCAGAAACTACAGCACAAAGAGAAAAGAAGTTTTCTTAAAGCCACAGAGCACAAAACCAGAACAAGGGATGGGTCAACTGTCATCAGCAAAAGACCGGCAATAAACTAGCGTTGGCTAGATAATCTCAACGCTGTCCAGAAGGCAGACCCGGATGGTATAGTAGAAGGGTTTTAAGCGTGTTGAATTCTGTACTCAGAGAGTCTCGGGTTTGAACGCAGGCTTTGCCCTTAACTCACGGGCGACCTTGGGCAATTTACTTACCCGTTCTAAGTCCAGTTTCTTTGTCCATAAAGTGAGGATAATATTAGTACTAGCTCAGGAGGGTTTAATTAGACAAGTGCTCGAAAGCTTGGCTGTTGTTTATCATTACTATACCATCAGATGTCATTGGGTGACAGATCTGGAAGGAAGCTCCAAGGTCGTTTGGGAGGAGAGGGCACTGCAGCCCGTCGTAGTGGTGGCCTGACTTGGCTAGGACATACAGGAAATGGACGCTTTCTCTCTCCCCCTGCTCACGACGTCTTGCAGACAACCAAGAGGCGGTTGCTCACTTAACCCCTAGATTCAGAGAAGGTCACCCGCCCTTGATTTAACGAGCTCAGACTTGCGGCTCTCGAAGGGGCATGTGTAGGGGGTCTCCATGCCAACATTAGGCTTGTTATCAAGAGCCCATTTGTTCAGGAGTGGGCTCCCTCCAGCCGGGGGTGGCAGTGCCTGTGGATAATGCCATGACTGCGAGGGGGATCACGGCCTTCACCTGCCATCCCTCCAAGAGGCAGGGGCTGTGGCTAGGTGTGCTGTGCACAGAGCCCGGGCCCTTGCAGGGATGAGGACCTTAACGCCAGGTAGGCAAGGCACGGCGGGCTGCCCCTCCTTCGGTTGGGCTCAGCAATCTGGCCTGTCCTTAGCTCGGCCCCGGGGCTCTGCCTGCCCACCTGCCTGCCAGATGGAAGACCTGCTTCTACTCACCCCAGATATACCTTCCCCACCGCCCTTCCCTCTCCCTGATGCTACAGAACCCCCAGCTGGTCCATCTGGAATGGCCCGGGTGAGCACCGGGCAGGGGGCAGGGGGCATGGCCTCCTAATCACGGCCAGGGAGGCGTTAAAGGCTGCTCTTTTCTCGTGCTGTGGAAAGGGCCACACTGAGTCAAGAAGGCAGGTCCCAAGCAGTCTTTAAGTGAGGGGCCTAAGATGTGTGTTCCGTGCTGACGGGGAACCCAAACCGGACTCTGAATAACAACAACAACACCTGTCCTTCCTTAAGCAGCCACCTTCTTCTTGGTCCAAACCACATGCCATCCCTTCAAAGCTTATAGCGGCTCCTTCTGCACTGGCTGGTTCGCGAGGATGCGGTGGGAGGCTGCATCTGTACTGGAGCACCTAGGAAGGGGGTGTAAGTTAGGGCAGGTGGTGCAAGAAACCATCAGCCGGTCCTCTGAGGAAGTACAAACAGGGAAGTGTCACTGGCCAGGGTAGAGGATGCTCTCCAAACACAGAGCCAGGAGGTCCCTGTGGCCCTGGGGAAGGGTGTGACAGGACTCACTGGGGCCTCACAAAAGGATCTCCCGCTCCAGATCCTTTGCAGGCCTGGTCTCAGAGATGCCGGTGGGCAAATCTGCATGGAGACCAAGAACCCTGCACGTTCAGTGTTATGTCTTAAAGACTGGCATAACCCATTGCCCAGGAGAGACTCCAAGGGCCCGTCCCACTCTCCACGAGTAAGGGGAGGGTCTGAAATGATGACCTGGTCACCCACCCCAGGGTCCAGGATATTGGTAAGAGAGCAGGTTCTGGTTTCCCATGAGGCTGAGACTAGAAACCCTTCTTGGCCTGGCATGATGGTTTGCTTTGGGGCCAATGGCCAAGTTTGTGGATGTGAGTCTAAGAAAGCTATAACCTTGGAGCCAATCTGTAGTGATCACAGAATCCCAGGCTCCGTCACAAGCACAAGGGTCCATGAAGCTGGCAGAACATGTCTTCAACAGCGCCCCCACGTGGTAGCAGCAGAAGCAATAACACCAATGGCTTGACGAGAACTAGTTTCTTCCTGGCCAAGAAAGCAGGAGTCCCCTCTTTGGACAGGGAAAATGAGTGGGTTCATTTGGACAGGGGGAAGCAATGGCTTCAATCAGGAGATATTGGACTCCCACTAAGTTACACAGGCAGGAATTTGAGCAATTAACCAGAAAATTAAGAGACTTGTGAGCAATCTCTCCAAAGTAGGGAGGTAGGTGATTCTGGTCACAGCATGGAATTTAACTATCTCAGTGGTTCCTTCTAACAGCCCTTCAAGTGGGCATAATTATGCACATAAATAAATGAGAGGGGTGCCTGGGTAGCTCAGTTGGTTAAGTGTCTGACTTTGGCTCAGGTCATGTTCTCATGGTTCGTAAGTTTCAGCCCCACATCGGGCTCTCTGTTGTCAGCATGGAGCCTGCCTTGTATCCTCTGTCTCCTCTCTCTGTCCCGCCCCCTGCTCACGCTCATGCGCACATGTGCGTGCTCTCACTCTCTCTCTCTCTCTCTCTCTCTCTCTCTCTCCAAATAAATAAATATTTTAAAAATTTTAATAAAAATAATTACAAATACATAAATACACGAGGACCAGGAGGCTCCAAGATGTTTAAAACACGTACAAATTCACACCCCTGCTAAGTGTAGGAGCAGGACTGGAATTTTGTCTTTTCGGTGCTGCAAGAGAGGAGAACAGGGGCTTGAGGCCAAGAGACAGTGGGTTCTTCTCAGAGCAGCTCTCTTTCCCCCTTCAGGCCACAGCCGAAACGACCCCTTTATCAAAGATGCCTCGGAGCCACATAACGTCCGTTGGGTGGGGTTCACCTCATTATTTCCTGTACATCAGGACATTGTTTCTTTCTTGGAATATTATCAGAATGATTGCAACATTGTTTTTATTTGTATTTTTCAAATTCTCTTCCGTCTGTCTCTGCCAGGAGACCATATGCCCCCCCGGGCAGCTATGTTCACCTCTGAGGCCCAGGGCTCAGTGCGGGGCTGAGCCCATACTGGGAACCCAGTAACTCTTGGTTGGATGAATCATTGAGTAGATAGATAATGGGAACTTGAAAGCATGTCTTCTTTGGATGAAGCGAAAGGCCTGTTCGCAGGGAACTGGGAAGATTCAGGGGAGATACAAGCCCCGTCTCAGAATTCCAAAGGGCTGGGAGTCCCTTAACAGCAGGACTCTGTGTGGCGCCTGGGTGGCTCTGTCAGTGGAGGGTCCAACTTTGGCTCAGGTCACGATCTCGCAGTTTGTGAGTTCAGACCCCACCTCAGACTCTCTGCTGTCAGCGCCGAGCCCCCTTCGGATCCTCTGTCCCCCTCTCTCTCTTTCTCTGCCCGTCCCCCACTCGCACTCTCCCAAAAATAAATAAATTAAAAAGAAAAAAAAAGCAGGACTCTTCCTAGTTAGGGGACCTGGGCCCCTTGGGAGGTGTCAGGCCTGAGGCATGGCCGCTCAGGAACTCAAAGCGAAGCAGGTAAGGGGGCTCCAAGGAGGAGGTGAGGTTGCAAGGTTTCCTGGGGGATTATCAGGAGCAGTGATCTCTAGGCAGAGACATAGGTTCGTCTGCCAAAACTTGCTCAGAGCAGCTTCCGGGCCTCCTGGCCAGATAATTGCAAACAAAATAGACTGGGGCCTGGGCAGCAGCTACAGCTTTTTCTATACAGGGCCCTGGGATGGGGCACGCAGGAGCAGGCACCGGGGCCCTGAGTCATAGAGAGAAACTCCACATTCAGAGCAGCTAAGAGTCCGGGTTTGGAACTCTTCTGTGCGATGGTGGACAAGGCCCTGCCTCTCTCTGGCAGCAAGCTTCCCATCTGCAGACTGACAACCAACCCACTGGGCAC